GACCTGCATGTCCCCTCCCGGTCACCTCCCCGACGAGATCGGAATAGACCTGTCCCCTCCCGGCCAGTATCCGGACAAGCTCGGGATGGCCTGTCCCCTCCCGGTCACCTCCGCGATGAGATCATACTGCACCTGTCCTCTCCAGGATCAGCCGATCTTATTTCCCGCCGCCGCCGCCGCCGTGTCCCCCTCCGAGTTCGAGGCGAAAAAGTCATTTTTTTCCTGTTCTGAAATCACGCACTTTTTTTGAAATGCACCAGATATTTTTCCCTGTAGTGAATTCATTACACCATTGATGTACCAGAGGTGGTAGTATTTTCAATCGGGCGCGTATATGACAGAAAATTTTAGCCGGACTCCATCTAAAATTGTAGGTGTTAACAGCTTCGGGTGGGCTAAAATTTTAGGCCATACCCGCCCGATCGAAAACACTACCAGGTGGCTGATCAACCAGTACCGCACGCACAGTGCGGGCGGGCGCGGGCTTGCCAATCGCCCCTGTCCCTGGCGCCTTACGGGCCGAGCGAGTAGGTAAGTAACCCGCCCGCACTCGTGGTCCAGCATTACTACAGAAGTGAGCGGGGTTAATCAGCCACCTGGTGTACAACAAACGCGACAACAAGGCTTGCCGTGCAGCCAGCTGACAACTGCTTTCGACGGGCTGCTGATTTCCTGCAGGCGCGCCGTCCTCGCGCCGACCAACGTCGCCGTCTCATTAGGACCCCGCCAACAGTTTGGGAACAAGTCTCGGTGCAAACAAACCCAGTGGAACACGTAGACCCGGACGAGGCCGGGATGAAGCCAAAGCTAATCGCTGTCACGGTCGAGGCCGTGGCGCGGTGTCAAGGTCGGCTGGGTCTGTCTGGCCGTGCAGGGGACGCCCAAAGGGTCAGACCATTCGGCCCTCTCAAGGGCCTAAATAATGAAGAGGAGCCCCGTCCACCGCGCTGGGCCCGGGGCGTCCAATTGGCATGCGACTTCGCATGAGAGAACCAACCATGTAGTCGAGATCTCAGCACCGGATCAGTGACGTGACCTGACACCCCCCCCCCCCTTTCTAAACTCCAATAATGAATGTAGAAGAAAACGAGCTAGACATTTGTCCGACACCACCCCGTCCACATCTCATGCATAAAGTGCATTGACCGAATATTTTACCTATATAAGTTGCCCCTGTCTCGCAACGTGGACTTCCCTCGACAGCTGCCCAGGCCGAGTGCAGCACAGACGCTTGCACTTTGCACCGTCGGCCCACGGACACGTGGAGCTGGCAAGCGATCCCGTGACTTATCGGGCTGTTTAGAGATAGTCGGGCGGTGTCGAGCAGGTTTGAGTTTCCTCGAACCCAAGACGGCTGACCGCTACAATGCAAAATGTTCGGTTGTTCATCTCGCCCAGGGTTGTCACTGCGCCCCGCTGCCCCGAGCTCGCGTTCAGAGAAATAAGTCCTCTCGAAAACATCGGCCTACCTCAAGATGCTTGACAAAACTAAGCAGCCCGAGACTGGTGCTGGCTCACCTCATCCTTTTCCCAAATGGGCTTTTCATGCAGTGTGGTATAGGGTGAGATGGAAGCTACAAAAAAAAATACAGTGGACTAAAAGTTTGAATTTATTAAGAATATACTACAAAAATATAAACGGAAAAGTTAACTGACCAGCTCATTCACACAGCAGAACAAAGGAAAAAGGAAGTCACAACTAGACGTTAATAGTGAAATATGACTCCTTAAAAGTAGAGGATCATAAATGAATATGTACAAATAATTAACAGTAATATGTAGTGTATTCCAGTTAACAAGAATACTGGTTCCAAACAGTTACCACCAGATATCACAGGGTACAAAGAGTTCTACTTGCTACACTAAGCAAAAACGCTTCTGATTTCAACTTCAAAATTAAAAATTTGTGCCTGCAAGAATGTCAGCCATTAGACTTATGTTACGTCTGAAATCATTCTTGCAGATTATTTTATTTAAATTGTTCAGAGGCATTTAAATTGACAGGCTCTGTAAATTACGTAAAATGGCACTCTTGCAACTTCAAATGTTTAAAATAACTAGAATATTGACTGAGAAAAAAATGAGAATTTGAAAACTGGAATTTAAAAGTAGAAAATAATTAAAATACAGTGTGGAAAATTTCAGTCCTCAACGAATTTAGAGACAGAAATAAGCCCATTAACCCATGAGCTTCTTGTCATAAAGGAATTCTCCAATGGCACCATGGCTCCTCATCATCTTGTCCAGGGTAGAGATCATTCCAGCAAGTTCACGCTGGCCCTTGTACTGCTCATCAAGGAACTCGCCAGTGAGGTAGTCAACCAGCTAGAATCAAAAGTTTAGTGTTAAGTAAAAATTTGAAGGAATCTTGCAAACATGAAATAAGGTGATCAAGCAGATCAAGCACTTACATGGTAATCATTGAAGTCTGAAGATTTCTTTGAGTCCTTGGGGTCCTTGGGTTCGTTGCTGCTGTCCTTGGGCTCCTTAGCGCTGCTAGGATCCTCACAAACAGCAACAATGGAACGAATGCTGTTGGTCACAGAAGTTTCAAGCTCGAGGGCATGTTTCAGAGCAGCCACTCCACTGGTCCATGCAGTCTCCACAGGGACCTGGAATATTAGGAAATTTTAGAAAGGAAATTCCGACAGCCAACAACCCATACCATACTAAATCTGTTATCTTACAGGATTGCGGATAAGTTCACCAATGTCCTTGGTAAGTTCACCACGCATCAACATGTACTCAATCAACTTGATGGCATGCTCTCTCTCCTCATCAGCAGATTTGAAAAAGTGAGCAGCAAATCCAGGACGGTTGACTGAATCAGTAGAGAAGTGGGCAGCCTAAAAGGAGCAAGTAGTTGATAAAATTGAACAAACAAGATTGAAGTAAAAATCGAGGCAGAGCCAGCTCACCATGGCGAGATAGGTCATGGATGCTGTAAGTTCAGTGTTGATCTGATCCCTCATAGCCTTCACACACGGGTCCACCATTGTAACCCATTCTTTGGAAATGTTGGCTGTGCGGAGATTGCCTGGAAAGGATAGGATGTTATCAAAACTGAAAAGATCTACAGAAGGGCAAGCAAATAAAAGATAACCAGCGAAGGTCTGATTCTGATGAACACCAAAGTGGCAGGTAAATAAAATTTGAGGATCAACAGGAAGAAATACGGAATGATGTAACAGTAACCACATGTGTAAGAGTCATCCAAGTTAATTGAATCATTTGATGAACTAAACAAGAAAGATTGAATATGTTTACAGGACTATTGCCCTATTGCATCACAACATGTGAAATTGGTGCACGCAGCAAAATAAAAAACACAGAGAGAATACAATGAGAAACAACATAACTAGAGAAATTCCCATCAGAAAATAAGGAAATTGATATTATCAGAGTCTCCGGTCTCTGATTCTTCGAACCCCAAACCTCCAAGACAAAGGCGTCGGTGAAAACGAATCAATAACAACACCGAATCACACTCACAATGCAATTTCTCGTTGTTGGCTGACACTCCATTCGTAGTAAGGGCCACGGCGGCCAAAACCACCACGGACGCGAACAACGGCGACATTTTGAAGAGCAGTGTCTCACGTCTCATCTGACGACGCACTAGACTTGAACTGAAGCTGAAGCCCTGGCAGGCAGAAGGAAGAGGTTAGGCTCGCACTCGTTGGAGTCGGAGATCTGATGACACACGTTGGGTGACAAAGCGAAACTAGCACCGGGGTCTACCTACCTCACGACAACCTTTGCATGCACTGATGCAGAAGGTCCCTCCACACACTCGCTTACTCGGTAAGTAGCCAAGAATCAGCGTAGGTCCGTCGCATTTGACGACGGGAAACACTCGAAAACACCCCGAAGACTAGCGCTGTTTTGCCCCCGCGGGTCAGCTGACTGTACTAGGGACGTGCGCAGTAGACGTCTGCGCATGCGTGCGACAGTCACTCTCAAAAGTATCGTCAGATTTCCTGCTTGAGCCCAAGCCGGCTATGTTCGTATTTCGACGTAGAATAGTTCTAAAATGCTCTCTTTCTCTCTCAAACAGAAGTTTGTGACTAAATCTGATAATTACCATGAGTAAATCAAACACTCATTGATGCGCGATTAAAAAGAGGCTGTCGCTGCTGTGTCGCTAGGCGCGAACACTTTTGAACTCGGCTGTACAGGTCATGTGACTTGGTTCTCTGATAGGCACAAACAAAGCAGAGCAGAATCAGAATCGACGAGTGAGAGCTGCTTGTGGTGCAACTTGCTCAGTGCCAGCGCGAGTCGTCTTTTGCTTCAGTCGCACAGCGTCTTGAGGAGCGTGCCATCGTCGGGGTAGGTTTGTAGTTAGTGTTCGCACTTTCGTTATAATTTGCGGAGAGGGTTCGCCAAGAGTGCCAAGGGGAAGATGATCCGTTCGTGTCTCACGACCCGCATAACCTGGTCAGCGTGATGTTTGCGTTTTAGCAGCGGGAGGCGCCCCTCTGAGCGTTTGAAATCGCGATCACCCGGTCATAGTTTAACCGTGTCTGCGTTGTGGGGCCCCTACACTTCCCTACAGTGTGGATGTGGTGTGTAAAATTCGACTGTCATGTATTGTTTCAGACTGTGATCGGTGTGTCAAACACAATGAAGGGCCTTCTGGGAATGGTGGCTGTGGCCCTTGTAGTGGCCCTAGCCAGCGCTGATTCCGGCGCTGAAACCGAAAATTACTGCTACCACGATGTCTCGGTCTCCTGTAGTGCGGGTGCGGAAGAGTCTTCCTCCACCAACTGCAATGCAGTCTACGGCAGTGCTCACAATGTCATGGAAGACATCTCCAACTACGTGAACACCCACATCACTCGTAGTTTCCAATATCTGTTGATGGTACGTAGCCTTTTTTTAAAAAAAGATAATGGTTCTGATGCTTTAGTTGGAATTATGAAAGAGTTATTGGTGTACCTGACAAATGTCCTTCTGTTTTAGTCAACACACTTTGGCAGCTATGAGGCCAACAGACCAGGTTTTGAAAAGCTCTTCCGTGTTCTGTCAGACCAGGCCTGGAATCATGCTCAGGGTTTGATCAAGCATATGACCAAGCGTGGTGGGAAAATGGACTTTGAACACCGTGAGGAGGACAAACTTGCTGAGGTAATTTAAATATAAGATTGTATAATAACAATTAAAGGTGAACTCACAATAAAATTAATGTCTTATCTTCTGCAGCGCAACCCCAAGAAGGCCGTGTATGAGCTGCGTGAGCTTGAAGGCTTGGCCCGTGCTCTGGATATTCAGAAGTCTCTTGCTAAGCAGGCGTTCAACCTTCACAAGAAGTCTAAGGATCCTGAGGTGGGTTTTTTTTTACCATGTCTCCCTCATTCACTCACTTCTTTCCCCTTTTAACCCGCTATTATTTTCCCCTCTGTTTGTAGCTGAACCAGTATCTGGAGGAGGAATTCATTGAGGGTCATGCTGATACCATCCGCAACTTGGCTGGCCACACCACTGACCTGAAAAGCTTGTCGAAGGGACCTGATGCCAGTCTGTCTGTGTATCTTTTCGATGAGTATTTGCTGAAGAAGTTGAGTGGTTAGTCATCTTCTCTAACCCTTGTTAAATAACACATTTTTAAAAAAAAAATCTTGAAGGAAGGGGGAACAAGTTCTTTTTATATTCAAGATTAGTCTATCATTTCTTGATTACTATTTTTTGAGATTTGAAATGATGTGAGACCAATATGTTGCACACTCTGGTTGAGATGGCCAAGTGTCTTGAATTTTAAATTCCCCTGTGAAATGCTAAATTTCTTCATTGCATACTCTAGCTTAGGTGGCTAAGTGTCATCAAATTTAGCAATCAAAATTTTCTTACCCCTAAGTGGTCAAAATATTTTCCTTCATTTTATCTTTGCACACTCTGGTTAAGATGGCCAAGTGGCTTTTTAAGTCATTAATATTTTGTGGTCATCAGTCTTAGAGCCATTGTGTTCAATAGCCTGATGAACATTGTTTCCTGGTTCTGTGATAAGAGTTAAACCAAGTGATGCTGTGTTAAAATAATTTGTAGAGCAAATTGCAGTGTATTTATTAGTTGCCATAAAGAAATGACTTTGTAGTACTTGTGTGCGTGGAGAAATTTGCAGCTAGTCTCCCAAGATTCAGTAATTAACAGTATATCATTTGTTTAGAAATTGTACGTTTTAGTGATAAGTGAATTGTGAAGTGAACATATTGTGTACATTTTTAATAAAACCTCAGTTTTCAATATTATTGATATTTAGCTATTATTTTCTTGTCTTCCTCATCAAGGTCAAGACCTTCCCAATCTCCTATAACAATGCATTTTGAGCTATCTTCAGACACTCGGAAACCATGTTTTCGGATATCATCAAGAAAATCTTCCATTCTGATTAAAATTAAGGAAATTTCTCAGAAACTGATGTAGGCCACATAGCTTACTATAAAATAGTTATAAAGGATACGTATTTTCCTTCTGTTCCAATTGCACTATGCGAGGGACAACAACTTCATTTTTAAATTTTTCCACCTCTTCATCATATTCATCCCAAATGAGGGGTTCATTTTGATGGCCATGTATTCTGTTGTAGCCCTCAAAGTATTGCTGAAAAGATGGAAGAAAAATGTTAAGTTGGTAAAAATTAGGAATAATTTATTTTTGGGTGCATGATTTTAGTTATATCCTGTTTTGTACAGACCTTTTCTAACATTAGTCCAAGTGATGGAGCTGTCGGGGCTGGCAGAATAGGAGAATTGAAACTTTTGTGAATAAAGTCAAACGGAGCTTTTCCTCGCATCAAAGCAATTATCATTCCGACTATCCTTCTAATTTGATGGAGCATAAAGCTTCTGCCTGGTGACAAAATTTGCCCTATGAATATTGTCTTTCATAAAAGTTGCAATGGGAAATGTTATAAGTAAATACAAACCTTTGATATGTAATGCAACCATTTCAATATTGTCATATAAGATAGGCTCTGATATTGAAGCACTTACAATTGACCTTACTGATCTACTATCCCAAATATCCCTGTGAAGAATAACAAATTTTTCAAATAATACATAAGTTGTCATCAATACTTGGAAACGAACATATCATTAACAAAATCTCACCGCTTCTCTGTATAGTTATGAAACTTATGAGAACCTTCAAATTCTTTGAAAATTTGATTAGCCATTGTTAATGTATCAGCATCAATACGATAACTAGTTCTGGGATTGCTTTCTTTTCGCCAGTGACAAAAAGCAAAACTTGGCATAATGTAAGAATATGAACGGTTGTCACACCATTTTTGTGCATCAAATGATTTAATGACTTTTTTAAATCCTAAGACACGAATGTCAGATGGTAAATAGGAGTTTATCTCGTCAACATTTATTTGATTAGCTGAAAAGGTGAAGAAAACACAACAGATGACAACAATTCTTTAGAAACTAAGTTAGAGCCATAAGTTTTAGATACTCACAGGTATTTAATGCAACTGTTTGTCTGAGGGCAGATACACCACTGTCAGTTCTAGAAGCTCGGCTATATCCAAGAACAAATCGAGGATTTTTGGAATCATATTGCGTTACGATACCTGCTTTGACAAAGGCAGAAAAGAGTTCCGCTTCAATTGTTGGCCCATGAGCATTGCTGAAAAAATAAAATTCAGACAAATAAGTGTGCAAACCAATACCAATAGCCTGCAGTGACAAATTTGTTTGAAGGAGTTTGTTTTAAGAGCATCACAAGGAATCTGTATTGAAGCTGCAAACTTTCAACAAGTGTGGACCATACTTACTATTGAATCCCTAAATAGTTAGCTCCATGATACGAGAGAAGTAGAGCGTAGCGTTTGACTCTTTCAAAGGTGCTGTTTGTCTGCTGATTCTCTTGCTCGTTTGAGTTGGTGTCATTTCGTTCCTTATAAGTGATGTTGGAAGCATGGTCATCTTTAAAATCACAAACAAAGCAATATGTTATGACTGGCAAAATATTCTTCTGAGTTCGGCATTATATAAACCAAATTGCTTATTAAACAACTAAAAAACATTTTAAAGGATTATATTTTGTTGACAAAATGAAATTTAGACTGATAGCAACACCAACCAGAGACAGATGAGGTATAAGTCGAACTTCTACGTAAAAAAGCTGCACAGTAAGTTCTAACACATAACATTTTGACAGTAAACGTAATCAAAATCGAAACAAAACATTGAACACTGAAATGTAAAAGCACTTTGCTGTGTCGTCTGCTTCCTTACCTGTGAATAATTTGAACGTGCCGGCAGGGTTAGGGTTATTCACAGTTTGGCATGAAAACAAACCAAAGATAGTGGCCTTATAATTTTTTTAAAAAGTACAATCCACTTTAAAAATAACATTTATGTTTTTCAAAAGTTTTCAAGGAAACCTGGGGCCAGAACCGGGTTCTCAGATACAAGCAATCAAGTGTTGGCAACATTGGCTTCAATGGCGCAATGGTTTTGAAATACATCGCTCGTATGTACAGCGAGTTTGGGGTGAACTCACCAACATCGGCGTCGTTTCGATAGTTTCTATTTCGTTTCGACAACAATTTCTCAATATGGGTCTAAACTGTCATGGTGAATGGGCGGTGGTGTCGTGGTGTTTTATGTTAGCGCTATAGCGCTATGGGCTCGCAGCAGAGTAGTATAGTGGCGGTCACCGGTCACCCCACATACCCTGCCTGCGGCTTGAGTGCCCGTAGACTGCCGCTCTTAAATCAGTTAGTTTACTTTTCGCTTGTATCTACGTGCAAAGCAAGTTACGATAAA